TCTCACAGGTCCGTAAAATTTCAAAAAAAATTTGAGGGATGGTCAGAGGGTCTCCAATTTTACTTTTATAAAATATCAGCTGCTTCATAAAAAGATTTGTGTGTGTGTGTGTGTGTGTGTGTGTGTGTGTGTGTGTGTACGCGCAAAAAGGTGATTTTATTAAAGCATGGGGATGGGGGCGCTGGGTGGCTCAGTCGTTAAGCGTCTGCCTTCGGCTCAGGTCATGATCCCAGGGTCCTGGGATCGAGCGCTGCATCCGGCTCCTTGCTCTGCGGGAAGCCCTCTTCTCCCTCTCCCACTCCCCCTGCTTGTGTTTCCTCTCGCTGTCTCTCTCTCTCTCTGTCAAATAAATAAATAAAATCTTTAAAAAAAAAAAAAAAAAAAGCACAGGGATAGGACCCATGGCAGAAAGAGCTGCTGCATAAAAAGATATTTTGAAGTAAATAGTGCACGAGAAACTTTGCTGCATTGTACTTGCTTTCATTTCTCTGAGGTTTGGTAAAACCTCACCAGGAAACCCCACAGTTCATGGCCTAGTTTGTGGAACCAATAATCTGACCTAACTTTAGGCACCAAATGCTGGCTCTGTCCAAGGGGACTCTGCTGGTTTAGACCAGGAGTCAGGTCTGGTGAAACTCCCAGGATCCAGGCGGATACCCTTCAGCCAGAAAGGGGTCCTCAGGGACTGATTATTGCCAGAGCCAGCCTGGGCATGCCCCACACACCGAGGTCCAGCTATGATGGAGCCTGACTTGCTTTAAATAATATATTTTTTTCCTGATTTTTTTAAAATAAAAATGTGGTCAGTGGGAAGAACAAAATTCATCTCTACCCAGAGAGATATAAAGGTTTACTGACACACAGGGGCAACAAAAGCACTTTCCAATCTAAAAATCGTAAAGGGAGAAAACCAAGCATCTCTCCCCAAACCAAAATGGAGCCTGGCACATGCAGGTAGCAATATGTATTGAACAAATAACTAAACCTAAATAACTGCAAGTATTTATCCTAGATGATCCAAGAAAACTCAGTAAGTCTTTGAAAAATTTTTTGATAATCAAAATGGCTAATATGATAAGTCTTCCTGGCACCCCCCTTCTTGCATTTATTTTTTTTCCTTGTATCATTTTTTTTAAAACTCTTAAGATTTAAAACTGTCTAGGACAACTCTTTAAGAAGCAAGGATTATGTATTTTCACGTCCAAACAATTTACATAAATCAAGTCTTATTATTAAAATGCCCTAATGATACATACAATATAATAACCTTTAAAAATTGATCAGGTAGACTCTCATGATTTCAAGACGTGTAATTTCTAAGAAGCCAATTAACTGAATTTTCACTTCCATGCCTGGTCACCTAAATGAAAAACATCTTACACCTGGTATTGAAAATAAACAATTAAGAGTATTTTTAACTCTTTGTGGCGTGCAATCTTAAACTCAAGAATTCATCACTGTTTTCTTTGAAAACCTTATGCATACCTTCTGCTTTGATGGTACCACTACGTCCCTTCCTGCAGCTTAGCCATCTCCTTTAAACCCATCTCCTCCTGTAGGAAATAAACATTCAGATAACCTCTGACAAACTGGAAGAATAAAGATGACTTCACTCTGGTTCTTTGTCTGAATACCTCATTTATATAAGTGTTTGTTTCCCCTGATGTTTCATTATGTTTATGAAACTTTTCTATAAAACATAAGCTCAATTTCACTTTTGGAAAATAAGCAAGCATCATCCCCTTTCAAAAATCACTTTCTTCTTTTGGTGAAACATCTGGTTTCGTCTTATTTAAGTTTTTACTTAAATCCCACCCACAACCTGCGCAGATGGCTCTGCATTCTCTTATTTCTCTCCATCTCTGATATTTAATCTCCCCGATCAGGTCTGTCTCTCATGTGCCCCACCCTTTAGCCAGAAGCCTCCCTCACTCTGAAGTGGCCCAGGTAGGTCCTGTACCTAGCCTGTGATGAGGATGGGGCCTGGGATGGACTCCAATGTCTCCATTTATTCTAATTAGTTTTTTCTTTCATTGTGCATAAAAACTTTCCTTTTAAACTGCTCCCTGGGATGCAGCTCTCTTCTCTCACCTCCTTTGGACCTTTTAATTAAGGTGGCCAAGTTTAGCTCTTACTAGTGTGTTCCCTGACCTAGAATCATTTGACCTGCTGCTACTTACTGACTATAGTCTTCAATTTATTATGCCCCTACAGTATGCAAGTCATGTGCTATGTGCTTCATATACATTATTTCTAGTCTTTGCTACACCCCTCCCTGAAAAGCTGTGTGACCTTGGACAAACTACAGAACATCTCTGAGCTTCAGTTTCTCATTTGTTTAAGAAGATTTATTTATTTATTTCAGAGAGAGAGGGAGTGGGGGAGGAGGGCAGAGGGAGAGGGAGAGAGAGAATCCCAAGCCGACTCCCCACAGACTGCAGAGCCTGATGCTGGGCTTGATCCCATGATCCTGAGATCACGACCTGAGCTGAAATCAAAAGTCATACGCTCAACTGACTGAGCCACCCAGGTGCCCCAGTTTCTCATTTAAAATGTGAATAATACGGCACCTGGGTGGCTCAGAAGGTTAAGCGTCTGCCTTCGGCTCAGGTCATGATCCCAGGGTCCTGGGATCAAGTCCCGCATTGGGCTCCCTGCTCCTTGGGAGCCTGCTTCTCCCTCTGCTTCTCATTCTCTCTCTCTCTCCCTCTGTCTCTCATGAATAAATAAATAAAATCTTTAAAAAATAATAAAATAAAATGTGAATAATAACAATGACAAGAGTCTGCATTCTACCCTACACCATATAGCTTCTCTTAGACAGTTGTCTTATTTCTCAGTGGTGTCCTCCAAATGTCCAGGATGGAGCTCAACGTGTAACTTAGCTCAATACATATTTACTTGGTGATTGTTTGAATATAGTTATCTTACTCAATTACTTTCCTGAGTTAGTTCTAAGAAATGAAACACAGATTTGTATTAAAGTTTATCAAAAGCAATAGACATTCACATTAAGGAACCAATGCAATAAGACATTACTTTTAAATGTCTAATTATAAAACTAAATACTAAGACCTCTACTCTTGGAATGCTCTGGTTAGTTGGATTTCTGTTAACTGTGAATTTGTTTTTTGTTACAATAGACGTGTTACGAATTTCATCAAATTTTAATCTATTTCCTTGCTTAGGAAAAGAATCTGCTGGACACACCTGTATCTGCTTTGATGACCCAGGACTCTGCAGTATCTCCAGGGCAGGATTTGGAGTATCAAGAGCTTGCTGAGGATAGAGAATGAGCAGGAAGGTGAGTAGCAGGTGCACTAACCCAGGACTCAAGTCTGAGATGATTTCGTACTTCTTACTTACTGTGCAGGATATGGCTAATGCTGTCTTGTAGTTGAGGATTAATGTTGGCTGGGTTCCAGTTAACCAAATATTTTTTGACTAGTGTTTTTGCAACTCTTGGCTCCTGTACTCAAGAGATAAAACTTTTAAAATGATTTCAGCCAGGTTTGTCACCACTGGCACGAGTGAGATTTCCTTATGCACACATATATCGTTTTTTATCCTTTCTTAAAATTTCATTTTATTATTATTATTTTTTCATAAGCTCTGTGCCCAACATGGGGCTTGAACTCAGGACCCCAGATCAAGGGTCACATGCTCTACCAGCTGAGCCAGCCAGGTGCCCCCCCTTTTTTCTTTAAGTATAATCATCTCAGATTTATAATTGTGTCCAGAATATTTTTTTTCACCCTTAGAATTTTCACTTTGGCTGTGCTCTTGAGAAGTGCTAATTCTACAGGAAAGTGCTGGCTGGGCAGCCACTTGAACTGAGGACTACCATTTGTTCAAATCAGCTGCCAAAGGCCATATTTCTCCTTCAGGTCTTGAAATAGCCAAGAGTCTACTTCACAAGATATGTGGGAAGAACTAACATGTACAAGGACAGGAAAGTCTACAAGATGAATATAGATGATGTTCAGTTTCATATATACTGCAATTGCCAAAATTACATGTTTTTTGGGTATTTGAAAAGTTGCTGTCAAATGTATAATTGAAACTTTGAGCAACCAAGATAGGAACCCATACATAACAGCATTTCAGCCTACATGGCTCTGGTTCTCAAACGTGACACACATCAGAAGTACCTGGGGAGCTTCTGAAAATCTAGATGCCCAGGCTGCCTCCCCCAGATCAATTAAAATATGGGGGTAGGAGTCAGATATTGGTATTTTTAAAAGATCCCTAGGTGATTCTAAAGTTCAGCAAAGTTTGGGAAACAATGGCATGTGGAAAAATACATGTAGCATGTAGCTACATTAAAATTTGTGGCATGTTACCTAAAGGACTCAACTTACAGAATACCTTAATTCACAGATCTCATGAATGTTTCCATTTAAAATACTTCAACATTATAATGGTAAAATATTTCAAAAATATGAAAAAGAGACTCTCGGTAAATTAAAAATTATTCTGTAATTTAAAATACTGCCAGTATATTACAATCCACTCCTTTTTAGGGGGAGAATATCAGGAACATTTATTTCCAGCTTCCAAATCCTTTTTATAAGTACAGAAGCAGAAGAAATACTGAAAGATGAAGGGAAGAAAGGATATAAACAAAGAAAAACTAAAATGATTATTTACCAAGAATTGCAAATGCTCATTTTCTGAGTATACCACAACGTTCCATTCTCTATTCCTAGGACTTTGTGTAATTTAAAGGGACGTGATGGTGGAGGGCTCATGCTTTTAGTTTATCAAAATAAACCTGAGTGTTCCTTTTCCCAGGCCTCAGTGAAAACTGAGACTTTACTCATCTTTATGAAAAAAGAGAGAAAGAAGAAAGAAGTAGGGGGAAAGAGAGAGAGAGAAAGAAGGAAGGAAAGAAGGAGAGGAGAGGAAGGGAAGGAGAGAGGGGAAAGGAAGGGAGGGGGGAGGAAGAGGAGGGGAGGGGGAGGAGGGGAGGGGGGAGGGGAGAAAAATGTGTCCTAGTGGTGAGCTCACCTGCCCTTTGAATTGTTCTATGGTTGAAATGCCCCTCCTGATTGATCAGTCCTCATTCAACAGATTTTCATGTGTTAGGAAACATTCGAGGATTATGTCAGCTGAGATTCCTGCTGCCTATCTGGTGGAGAGAACAACTTATAGTAACAAACACACACCAGACTTGGATGAATTACCATCACCACAACCTGCAGGCCTGTTGGGGTCGTTCAATTCTTCAAACAGTCCCGTTTCTATAATCTCTTCCTGCCATGCTATAGGGACAGCACCTGTTGCAAATCTTTGGAAGAACATCTTATCTTTATCATCAAATTCGATTCCCCGAACCTCAGAGAAATCTTCAATTTCAGCGATGTCTTTGGCATAAACCACTGAAGGGTCTGGCACAAATGGGGGCTCAACTAGGCCAGCTTCCAGGCGAGCAAAATTGATGGTTTTGAAGAAAGGGTGTTGCCTGGGATCATCAGACTTTTCTCTGTGAAGAAAGGAGATGGTCAGCCTGAGACACAGTAACAAACCAAAACAGGAAATGTTCTAACAATACAAAGTGTCTAGCATTCTTTTCCTGTAATACATTTCATTTTAATTGCAAAGACAATATAACAACGTAAAGAATAATTTGGAAAAATAATAACTTTAAATTTCACCCACAATTTTAAAAAATCACCCACAATTCCATCTTATGCAGACAGTAGCATTTTCATTGTTTGCAGATAACCTTCACATGTCTAATTTTTGGAGTCAAGTAGTTGACATGACTTTTATTCTTAGTGTTTTGTGGAAATACAAGCAAAATTCAGTGGGGCCAGAACCTGCTTCCCTGCAACTTCCAGTCATTGCATTTTGCTAGACCCTTCAGGGTCACATAGAACAAGGGAAGCATGTCTATCCACACACAGCCCTACTCACATCCTAAAAAACAGCACCCATATTGTCTCAGTCTTCATATGACATGATTATTAGGAGCTCCACCTACCTCCCCCAACAGCCACAATACTTTCAAAGACTTTAAAAAAATCCATTAGTAATTTTTAGCAGCATGAATGAGCATACATTCAATGCTCAAGACTATGGTTATTGGTTACCAAGCCCTCTTTCCTTGTGCTAGAAATTATGCCAGTATTTGCCTTAGAATAAGAGGGGGGAAAATGTATGTTCCCAATTGTGTAACCTCTTGTATTAGTTATCTATTGCTGTGTAACAAACTGCCCCAACATTCAGCGGCTTAAAACAACAAACATTTATTATCTCAGTTTCTGTGGGTCAAGAATCTAGAAACGGCTTAACTGGGTGCCTCTGGCTTAAGGTCTTTTATGAGGTTGTTCATCAGTGCTGTGGTCTCATCTGAAGGTTCAACTGGGACCAGGGGAGGAAATCTGCTTCCAAGCTCACTCACATGGTTATTGGCAGGTCTCCATCCCTCACCACATGAGCCTCTCCACAAAGCTACCTTATAACTTTATACCTGGTTTTCCCCTGAGCCCAAGATAAAAGGCACAGTCTTTTTACTACCTAATCTTGGAAATGACATCTCATCACTTCTGCCATATTGTTAGAAGCAAATGAATAAGTCCATCCCACCCTTAAGGGAAGGGATTACACAAGAGTATGGATAACAGGAGATGGGGATATTTGGGGACCACACTAGGGACAGCCTACCACACATTTCTCTTGGTTCCTCTTAAGTCCAGGTTTTTAAAGAAATAAAAGGGGGCTGTATTGTGGCATCAGATTCAAATGATTTTTTCCTTTTTATGTGAGTAGATATGTTGGTCTGACAAAAAAAAAATGTCTACCTTTAGGGGGGCACCTGGGTGGCTCAGTTGGTTAAGCATCTGACTTTTGATTTTGGCATGGATCATGATCTCAGTGTTGTGGGACTGAATCCCACCTTGGGCTCTACACTCAGCAGGAAGTCTGCTTGAGATTCTCTCTCTTCCTCTCTCTCTGCCCCTCCCCCTGTATACTCTCTAAAATGAATAAATAAATCTTAAAAAAAAAAAAGAGGGGTACCTGGGTGGCTCAGTCGGTTAAGCATCTGCCTTCGGCTCGGGTCATGTTCCCAGGGTCCTGGGACTGAGCCCCACATCGGGCTTCCTGCTCAGTGGGGAGCAGTGCTTCTCCCTTTCCCTCTGCCCCTCCCCCTACTCCTGCTCTCTCTCACTCTCTCGCTCTCTGAATTAAATAAATAAAATCTTAAAAAAAAAAGAAAAAGAAAAAGAAAAAGAAAGAAATGTCTCCCCTTAGGGAAAAGTCAATTTCTGTCATAAATCAACCTTGGTAAAAATTAATCACATTCATAGGTTTCCTTTACTTTTATTCCAGTTATCAAAAACTTTTAGGAAAAGAATTGAGGATTTCTCCCATATGCCCCCTTACAGATTCCCTACTATGTCAGATAATTACTGCAGTGGACTCTATCTAACAGTTCTAAACACAGTAATGACATTACTAATAATAACAGCGGGAATAACTGGCATTTATCCAGAACCTACTCTCAGCTAACACAAAGTTAAGCTCTGCACTTATGTTATCACATTTAACCATCACAATAATGCCTGTCTGTCTTTTCATTGTATTTTAACCTCTTCACTTGCTTCTGTATTCATAAATGGCTGTGCATCTGAAAAAGCCAAACATGGGTGAATTTTTCAAAGGAAAATTGTAATCAAATATTATTATGGAAAAGAGAAATCCAGCTGTAGGCTTCTGATGTCCAGCCATTCCCTGGGTTGTTCTGTGGTTCAGGCCTAGCCCCATCCAGAATGATGCAGGACTCCTTGGACTTATCTCATTATGACCCAGCTGAAAAACAGAAATGGAGAACTGTATCATGAGATACTACAAGTTGTCTCTTTTTTCCCCAAAGCCACCAAGTCTCCATCAATTTAAAAGAAGGAAAATGCAGGCTTGCTATCTACTAGAACCTACTGACTGATGTCGGAGTGGTTTACATCCTGTAGAGTCAGAGCCTCGAGGGAGGGTTACTGAGATAGCTTCAAAGCTTCAGAGATGAATTTTTCTCTTAAGTTAGGTTTATTCAGGTATAATTTTCACAGCAACATTCACCATTTTAAGGTATCAGATTTTGGTCGTAGGGAGGGTATCAGATAGAATTTAAATGTGGCAGAATAAGGATAGAGGGGCGCCTGGGTGGCTCAGTCGGTTAAGCGTCTGCCTTCGGCTCAGGTCATGGTCCCAGGGTCCTGGGATGGAGCCCCTTGTTGGGCTCCCTGCTCAGTGGGGAGCCTGCTTCTCCCTCTCCTCCCTGCTCCTGCTCCCTTTCTTTCTCGCTATGTCTGTCTCTCTCTCTCTCGCCAATAAATAATTAAAAAATTTTTAAAAAAGAATTTAAATGTGGCAGAACAAGGACAGAGCTAGAATTCCATCTATGTAAATCAGGAATAACCCCAAGACTCTGTGTCTCAAAGAAAACAAAGGAGCTGGAATGGGACCAGGTGCCATGAGAAAGGAGCTTGTACCATCCTGATGGCCACCAGCAGGCATGAACACAGTATCCCACAGGTCAAGAGAGCAACCTAAACTCACTCTGAGCAGCTTTAACTTGGATAAACAAAGAGTGCCCAGGGGCTCAGTAACCTTGAGAAACTTGCCAAGCCAGTCTTGACATCAGTATGAACAGTTCTCAAGGAACACCTCAAGCAACAGGCCCAAATGGCCTTGGTTTGCCCAACAGGGATGGCCACTTTAGCCCTTTTGCAACGAGCTGCAAAGAATAAGGGAACAACAGGCCACTAAAGGTTTTCTTTATGTTCCTCAGCACCCTGACTAGATGACCCTGGAGGGCAGGGCCTATGCTTTAATGCCCTTTCTCACTAAGTGTCTGTGGTTGCTGATGCTAACAACAAAAGATTAGGCTTTCCCCTATTCCTTTTACTCAGTGTCTGGACCACGACAAATTTGATCACTTTATCTTTTGCACTAATGACTCTTAACTCAGTTCCGTAATTAAAAATAGCATGGATGTTATTTTACTCTTGGATCTTGCTGGGCTGCTTCATGCAGGGATCTTTTGGCCCATCCTTAGGCAGTGCACTTTGGACAAATAAGAGAGGCTATTGATGGGGGCAACATCTTCTGCCCTAGCCAAACTGGCAGCTGCAGGAAGACTTCTCCTGCTGATTGGAGTAGGTTCTATTTCAGAGCATTTATAGGAGCTTTTGTGTTACTGAACCCTACATAGAGATTACAATGGATTTTCTTATAATAGTCAATGAAGTAAAGATACCACCCGACCATACATGAAGACCACTCTGTGGGGTTTGGTCTGCCAAGAACAGTATCTTTAGTATTGGTATGAAATTATGTGTTGGAGAAGCACTTAAGTCAGAGACTTGCATGATTAGTTGATCTTGTTCTGCTGCACTGACTGATCAGAAGAAAACCTGCAAAATGCTTAAGTGATCTTCAGCTTTTATTTTATTAGAAAACATCATAAACTCTATCTGGAGCCCTTGTGAGATGCTCAGAAAAGCTTGCAATTTATTTTTTTTTTTTTAAAGCTTTCAACTTCTCTGCAAAACAAAATTAATTCACAGACCTATGAAAACAAAGGAGGAGATCCTTCCAGTGATGTCTAAAGAGGGAAAAGGGTTTTAAAATTTTTTTCAAATGTTTGTGAATGCAAGAGGGAGGGGGCACTTGACCTCTCTGCTGTGTAACATGTTGAGTAGGCATTGCTTGGCTTTGAAGGACACCACTAGATTATCTCATCTGAATTAAAAAAAAAAATACAGAGAGTTGAAATGAAAATGTTGGAAGGTTTTCTCTTTCACCGAACAGCTGGTTTTTATATGCCTTTTCTCTAATGTTGTAAACAGTTTTATTCAAAACAGTCACAACAACAGATGCTTTATAAAAAGGTTTTGCTTGATGGAACAACCTCAGGCAATGATCCAGTGCTTTAAGGTGGCATTTTCCTGAAGAGGTTTGTCAATATTTCATTTTCTATACCCAAAGTGTGTTTACAGAGTGTCAAGATAGATTTTTCAATCAAACATACCAAGCGGGCAAGTTGTCTCTTTTCCCCAAAGCCACCTTCAGGGAGGTCATCTGAAGAGACGGTTCTCTTTCTTTGCGGCCTCTGCCGCTGTTGGGATGCCCTCTTAGACTCCCTGCACTTGAGAACCCCGGCAGTAGAGATGGTCAGGGGTCACCATTTCCGGTTCTCCTCTCCTCCCTGGGCACAATGAAGACAACACTAGCCAGACCCTTGGACCTTGCACAGGGCAAACACAAGTGAGTGTAAGTGACGCGCGAGTGGGTCACTTCCGGCCAGTGGCAGTACGAAGCTCCCCGAGGTTGTCTATGCTCTCGTCCGCTACAGTGACTGGAAGCCACGAGTTCCAGTGGAGCTGTCAGATGGATGCAGCCTGGCTCTCTGAGTCTCTGCTCCGAAGGGAGGTACCCGAAGGGAGTGCTGCTGCACCCATAAGGCACTTTGTGCGAGGGAGAAAAAAATTCTCTTCATTGCAAGCCTCAGAGACTTTGTGATTTGCTTGTTATCATGACGCGGCCTATTCTGACCACACTAATGCAACAACGTTGGAATCTACACAGGAAAATCAGTTCCACGTTTTCCTTCACTTAAATGTAGAGTTTCTGTTAAATTTCAAAATACTCATTTCTTAGTTTGGTGTCTGTCATGCTTTGAAAGTCATTACAAATGGATCTTGTTTCGCTATTTAAAATAATGAGGTTGAAAATTAAAAGCTTACCTCCATACTCTAATATTTTTAATTAAGGCAGCCTTGTTCTAGAGCCTTCACTAGCAGCTACTTGGAAGATTGAGGGTAATTTTACTGCCCATGTTCTGGGGTAATAGTAAAAATCAGTCATATTACTTCATGTTATAGCTTTCATATTTGTATATATTTTTAAATTTTGAAAATTCAATCTAAGAATTTAAGACATTCAAGCTCATAGTTCAGTCAAAATATTATCTGGCATCTCTCTTAGAACAAATTAGTAATAATTGCTATCACTTACTTTATATATATTATATCTAAACCTCAAAGTTTCCCACTGTAATAGTCAGGGTTCTCTAGAGAAACAGAACTAACAGGATGTTGAAAGGGTCCAGAATGTACCATGGTAGCATAAAAATTATTTTGAGCTGAAGGCATTTGCGAGTCAACCGATACAGGTTTTGAACTCCCCTTATCTGCCGAGAAGCAGAGACTCCCCCCAAAACTCAACTCATAAATCTTCTCTCTGGGAGTTTTAGAACCGGGAAAGATTGACTCTTATCACCAGTGACAGAAGTCTGCTCCACACCTAAACAGCCACTGCCACAAAACTATCGTATCTCCCATCTCTTCTCCTAAGGGCCCATCTCTCTCTCCTAAACGTCATTTGTTCTCCCATAAGTGCCGTTCCCCCCCAGCAATTCTAAGAAATTATTTGTTTTCATGCAAGTACCCTTCTCCTCCTCCCCTTCCCCTATTAAGATGGTCTATAATTCTAACTGATCCCAGTCACATTTTTTCTGTGAACTCTTGTATAGGTGCATAAATAAAAGCCTGTCTTTTCTCTTACTAATCTGTGTTTTGTTAGTTTCGTTTGCAGGCCTCTAAGAGGGTAGAGGAGAAGTTTTTTCTCCTTGACAATATGTGTGCATGTATATGAGAGAGACATGGAGAGAGAGAGAAAGAGAGATTGAGGGAGGGAGGGAGGGAGGGAGGATGGATGGATTATTTTAAGGAATTGATTTGCACAATTGTAGAGGTTTGGCAAGTCCAAATCCTGCAAGGTAGGCCATCAAGCTGGAGACCCAGGGAAGAGTTGCAGTTCAAGTCCAAAGGTGGTTTGCCTGCAGAATTCCCTCTTCTCCCAGGGAAGTCAGTCTTTTTCTGTGAAGGCCTTCAACTGACTGGATGAGACCCATCCATGTTATGAACAATAATCTCCTTTACTCAAAGGCTACTGATTTATATATTAAGACTATCTAAAAAATACTTGCACAGAAGCATCTAGAATAATTGATCAAAAATCTGAGTATGGTGGCCTAGTCAAGTTGTCATAAAATTAATCATTATACCCATAAATCCCCCATTTTAATACATGAGGATATTGAGACTCTGAGAATGTAATTCAATTGCTTGAGGTAAAAGGACATACAGAGCTGGGATGGGAGTCTATGTCTGCGAATCTAAAGCCCTTGGTTTTTTCTCTATATAACAGTTACCCACTGCCAAGGGCCTTTTTACAGGTCAGCTTTTACTTATTTTGTTTCTTCTAAAATAGCTTGATCTTATTATTCCCTGTAAGCAATAAAACTCGACTTTCTTCAAAAAGAAAGTGCCCTGGTACTGATGAGATTTATTTTAAGTTTTAATTGTATTCATTTTTTAATCATTCATCCACAATTCAAAATTCAGGAGATAATAGGGTTATAGAGTAAAAATCTTCATTTACGTCCCTGTCACCTGCCCCTAATTTCTTTTTATTAGAGACCATCAATCATATACATTCTTTGTATACTCTGCCCAAAATATTCTATGCAACAATTTGAATTATAGATTTCTTTTCTTTTCTCTTCTCTTTTCCCCTTTCCTTTCTCTCTCTTTCTTTCTTTCTTTTTCTTTTTCTTTCTTTCTTTCTTTCTCTCTCTCTCTCTCTCTCTCTCTCTCTCTTTCTTTCTTTCTTTCTTGTATGCTGTTTTGCACCTCACTTTATTTTAAAATATATCTTGGAGATCATTCCACATCAAGTGCTCACAGTGTCTGAAATTATCAGAAACACTTAACCATATAATATGCAAATAATAATAGGAAAAATAATAATACTTAAGCCCAAGTCCTCGTCATCAATCCAAACCTGTGGACAATGCTGACACTGCTAATTACCTCTGTTATATGGTAGTTTACCTGCTTCCTAAACGTTGCTCTGGTTTCTTAGCCAAGAAGAGTCTGCAAATATCTTTTGCTTCCTCTGTGAAGTTATCATGTTGGAATCTGACCTCTTCTTTCAGGGTTCTTTGCTTTAAATCCTCTTTACTGACTTTCTCCTTGTAATCTTTGAATGGTGTTCGTCCAGCAACCATTTCATAAATACTGCATCCCATTGCAAACCAGTCCACAGGATAGGAATAACTCACTTTATCCATTAGGATTTCAGGAGCCATATAACCATTGGTTCCAGCCTGTAACACCCCAAACAAGAAACAAAACAAAACAAAAACACTAATGTGAGTGTAACAGATGCTGCTGATTGCCTATCAAATACCCATTCTCCTTTTCTTTCTTTGTTAAGTGAATCCTAAGTATTTGGGGTGGCAATGTGTCTAACCTATTCTAGTCTCTGCTTTCCTAGCATCCTCTGGGGTAGCTGGGGTAGGCCATGTCATCCATTCTAGCCAAGAGGATTTAGCTGGAGTGCATTATAAAAGGGACAGATGAGGGGTGCCTGGGTGGTTCAGACAATTGACTCTTTTTTTTTAAATATATTTTTTCAGTAAAGTAATGACAACCTATCATCTTTAATGAAATCACATACTTTATGTTTTTTTTCTTATGGATATAATTTAATATGTTATTTATTTATTTATTTATTTATTTATTTTTTATTACGTTATGTTAGTCACCATACAGTACACCATTAGTTTCTGATGTAGTGTTCCATGATTCATTGTCTGCATATAACACCCAGGGCTCCATGCAATACATGCCCTCCTTAATACCCATTACTGAGACAACTGACTTAATCTCAGCTGAGGTCTTCTCAGGGTCGTGAGTCCATGCTGGGCATGGAGTTTAAAAAATAAATAAATAAATAAATAAATAAATAAAATAAAGGGACGGATGAGGCTGCTCTTGAAATGAGTTAGTCACCTAGCCCCTCATTTCATCATTAAGGTGAAAAGTTCAAGTGGATGTCTCTGTGATTCCCGTAAGCTCTGCCTCTGTATTTTATTCACAGATAATAGAAAATTAGATGCATGGTTTTAAAGGTTGAACACTTTATTGCTAATATTGAATGTTCATATATTATCTGGTCTGTGATTCTTACTCTATTTGCTATATAACGATATTAATATCACACATCTCTGCCTATCCCTGCACTGAAAAATTAGCACAGTCATTTTAATCTAAAAAATTCCACACATGAAAATTCATTTAACATGCATGACTATATTTTGTAGGCACATTTGTACTGACAATACATACCAAATGACCATTGAGTTAAAAATATATATTTATACATATAACTTAAAATTTACCATCTTAATCATTTTTTTTAAAGATTTTATTTCTTTGATAGAGAGAGACACAGCGAGAGAGGGAACACAAGCAGGGGGAGTGGGAGAGGGAGAAGCAGGCTCCCCACCGAGCAGGGAGCCTGATGCGGGGCACCATCCCAAGACTCTGGGATCATGACCTGAGCCGAAGGCAGACGCTTAATGACTGAGCCACCCAGGCGTCCCCCATCTTAATAATTTTTAAGTGTACAGTTCAAGAGTATTAAGTACATTCACATTGTTGTGCAACCATAATCACTTTCGATCTCCTTTCATCTTGCAAAACTGAAACTCTATACTCATTAAACAACAACTCCCTATTGCCCCCACTCCCTAGGCCCTGGCAACCACCATTCTACTTTCTGTCTCTACTAATCTGACTACTCTAGGTACCTCATGTATGGGGAATCATGCAGTTATTGTCTTTTTGTGAATGTGTTATTTTAATACATTCATTAATTCGACAAATTTTTGAAAATATTTTATATACTTATTTGAGAGAGAATGAGAGTATGTGTGTACACAAGGGGAGAGGCAGAGGGAGAGGGTGGGGGAGGAAAGAATCTCAAGCTGACTCCAAGCCAAGCATAGAGCCCCACACGGGGCTTGATCCTATAACCCTGAGATCACGACCTGAGCCAAAATCAAGAGTTGGACACTTAACTGACTGAGCCACCAGGTGCCCCCAATAAATATTTAATGAATATCTATAACATACCTTGTAATTATAAAATATACATATATATACATACACACACACACACACACAAACACATGTTTTCCAAAAACTAACTTGTTTTTGGTTAAAGTATAATGTATAATCTCTGCAGCAATTAAAAATTCAAAGAACACCTGGGGTGCCTGGGTGGCTCAGTTGGTTAACTGTCTGCCTTTGGCTCAGGTCATTATACTGGGGTCCCGGAATTGAGCCCCATGACAGGCTCCCTGCTCAGCGGGGAGTCTTCTCCCTCTGCCCCTCATCTAGTTCGTGCTTTCTCTCTCTCAAATAAATAAATAAGTAAATAAATAAATAAATAAATAAATAAAATCTTTAAAGCAAAAAAAAGGAAAAATTCAAAGAACACCCTAAAATGACAATAGGCTTCTATTAGTACATAAAAATGATCATATAAATTATTGGCAGAGTTGTGAAAAACAGATGTGCTCTACAAACTGACCCAGACTTTTAGGAGAGCAGTGAGATATAGAGTCACAGAAAATAATATGTACCAACTGTTCCTCTCCTTCAACCAGGTTACTTCATCTTGGAGTATATACCTCCAAGAAATGACTCAGAAGAAAGAAAAAGGAATCTACATGGAGATGTTCATAGCTCCATTATTTATAATGGTCACAAGCTGGAAACCTCCAAAAGCCCGTCAATAAAGACAACAGACTAGAATCTATTGTTAATATATATATATGTGTATATATATATATATTGGATATCACACACTGATTACACACTGATTACAAATATGCATTCCAGTACATCAAAAAAGGCTGGAAAGTGTTTTTAGTTTCACACACTGATTACAAATATGGATATCACACACTGATTACAAATATGCATTCCAGTACATCAAAAAAGGCTGGAAAGTGTTTTTAGTTTTTTATCGGGTGATTTTTTTCTAATTGCTTAAGTATATATTTTTATATGCATTATATATATAATGCCATAGGAATATTAAGTTTCATGGATAATTTCTACATGGGTAACAATGAAAAGCATATATGACCCAAGCACTAATGAGAAGTAATTGGCCTGTTCTGGAAGTGACTGGGTCTGACAGGCCGGGCATGAGTCAGCATGGTACTGCTGTTTTCATAGAAGCTGATATATAATTTGGGTGACCATATGTTCTGGTTTGCCCAGTACAGTCCCAGTTTACATCTGTTGTCCTGGCACCTTGTCTAGTTTTGCATTTATCCAGACAGAAGGGTCCTGTAGGTTCCCCTGAGGCCCAGGATGTAGTCTTACTCGACTTTGTATCCAAACTAGGAACTTACTATAGGGCCTCATGTGGTGCATACCCAACAAAATGTTTGTTAAACAACAGTAAAGATGGTAACTAGATGTTTTCCATTCACTATGCAACCAGTATTGAACCATGCCCTGCAGTGAGTTCTAGGGATGCCAAGACACATGATACCTGGCCGTTGCCCTTCAGGATTTACAGGCTGATGGAGACAGGTCGAAAGGTTAATTAAATAGAGTACAGTAAATGCTGTAATGGGAGTATAAAAAAAGCACAGGGAGGTGAGAGGGTGTGTATGTGTGTGTGTGTTGGGGATACTTCACTGAAGAGTGATAGCTGAGCTGAATCATGAGGGAAGAATCTGTCCCCCAGAGCAGGCTAGCCAGCTAATGAGCATGTGCAAGAGATGGAGCCAGAAATAATGTGGGGTGTTCAAGGAGCTTGAAGGAATTTGGCATTTCTGGAACACAAGATCTGTGGGATGCAATGGTGGGAGGGGAGACTAGAGGAAGAGATGTAGATGAGACTGAGAAACACTGTATGCCAAAATAGCAAAAATTTATTCCCAGTCCCCCTTTTCCCTTGTACCCCTCTACCAGAGAGGTCAGAAGGCTGAGCACTCCATCTTTCAGCTTCCTTTGTACCTAAGGCGACCATGTGATATGAGCTTTGAGAGGTGTGCAAGGCAAAGGTGCTGAGGGTTGTGGAAAAAGGGGAGTAAGCCTACTTAGAAATACATAAAAGATATAAGACAAATTAATGGATCAATAGAGGGATGGAGAGACATGTGATAAAGTGAATCTAAAAAAATATTAATGATATACAATGGAATATTGTTTGGCCATAAAAAGGAATGTACTAATACATGCTACAACATGGATGAACCCTGAAAACATTACACTAAGTGAAAGAAGCCAAATACAAAAGGCCACGTATTGTGTTTCCATTTATATAAAATGTCCAAAACAGGCAATTCTATAGAGCCAGAAAGTGGATTAGTGGTTGCTTAGGGTTGGGACAGGGGGAGTGGGAGTGACTGCTAAAGGGCAGGGGGTTTCTTTTTGGGGTGAAGAAAAGATTCTAAAATTGTGATAATGTTTGCATTGCTCTATGAATATACTAAAACCCACTGAATAGTATACTTTAAATGGGTCAATTTTACGGTATTTAAATTATATCTCAATAAAGCTGTTCAAAATGTTCATGGTAAACAGGTAGGTAGTGGGTATACAGGTGCTTGCTGTGAAATTCTTTCAACTTTCCTATATGTTTGAAAGTCTTTATAATAGAATGCAGAGGGAGGGGGCCCTTGAGTGGCTCAGTCGGTTAAGCATTGCCTTTGGCTCAGGTCACGATCCCGGGGTCCTGGGATCCAGCCCTGTGTTGTGGGCTCCCTGCTCAGTGAGCAGTCTGCTTTTCCTCTCCTTTTGCCCCTCCCCCTGCTCGTGCTCTCACTCTCTCTCTCAAATAAATAAAATCTTAAAAAAAAAAAAAAAAAGAATGTGGAGGGGAAAAGGAGTGAGGGAAGGGGATGCAATGCCAGGCATTACCAGGTGGCTGTTGGTCCATCAGGCACAATAGAATCTTCTAGAAGGGTCATAAAGAAGAACTACAGGGGAGAGTGAAGAAGAGGGAATCCATCTACCCAGCTCCCTCCCATCTCCTATTTCCATTAGTCAAGGATTACCCAAAAGCTAACTTGTCTGTATTTCCAGATATCATCCAGACCTTCAGCAGCTTGCTAGAAACCAGGATTCACATTGCAGTCTGATATTTCCTCCAATTCTAAAAGAGGAGGTACAAGTCAGCCTACAAGTGGAGCCAACAGGGTGCTGTCCAGGAGAGAGAGAAGAGGCAGAGAGGGACTGTCAGAAGGTGTGTGAGGTTTGTGGCCCAGTACACCAACTTGATGAAATTTCTCCACGA